TGAAGGAAATAGCCAAAAAGCTCGCATTATAAATTATCTCAATCATAAGTCATTAGACCTAAAGTAATACCCTGCAGAGCCTTGTGATGGTTCTACACTGACCTTGACTTCTGGCATGTGCCAGAGCCCATGTTCTTGATCAAATTGTCCCCCTTGGTATAGGACATGGCAGGGATCTCAATTTTGTGGGTTCGGGGAGCCTGTAGAGCTGAACGTGCAGGCTGGGATTGCCAGAAAAGGTGTGCTCTTTGTGTTCTCGCTCTTGCCCACTCCTCCTGGCACTCAGGCAGCCATCCATGCGCGTCTGCTTGAACCTTCCAGGGTAGACGTCCCAGTCACTCTTAGTCCATTCTCACCACCTTCACCACTTCTCCAAGGGCTGCTTACCACACCTGCTTACCCATCTTTCCTTCTTCCCTCAGCTGTCGGAGAGGTGGCATGATTGTGGACCCCCTGAGATCTGGCTTCCCAAGAGCACTTATAGACCCATCGTCAGGCCTCCCAAACCGGCTTCCTCCAGGCGCTGTGCCCCCAGGAGCGCGCTTTGACCCCTTTGGACCCATTGGAACCAGCCCGCCTGGGTAGGTATTCACTCGCTGAGAAGTAGGACCCGATGACAGCTCAGCTCAGCATCGCAGGAAAGAAGGCATCTGACACCAGGTGCAGAGTTGCCACTAGCTCTGTCCTCTGCTGCCAAGAGAGTGGAGTCTCCTCCACGCCCCTACCCAATGCCTCCATGGAGCTTTCCAGGAGCTCCCTACTCCTCACTGCCTCCCTTCCCCAGCTCCCCTCAGGGAGGACTCAGGGGAGGGGTTGCTACTCACAATTACTGGAATTTTTCTGTGTCCAGAACTCATTGGATCCTTATATCGACACTTGGTATATATTCCTGTCCACATTTCACAGATGCAGAAATCAAGGCCCTGAAAGATGAAGTTACCTATCCAAAGTGGGAGAATCAGAATTCAAACCCAGGCTGTTGGGCTCTGGAGCGCACGCTCTTAAACTTCACAAAGCACCACATCATTCTGGAGGGCAAGCTCCATCCACTCAGGGCCCTGTCTGCCTGTGTACCCCCAACTTTCCATCACCCCAACTCACCAGCCCCTCTTTCCATTCCAGACCTAACCCAGACCACCTCCCCCCACCGGGCTACGATGACATGTACCTGTGAAGGCCTCAAGAATGTAACATCCCAGCCTCCCCTCTACTCTCCTGGAGCTGCCACCGCTGGGCCCATCAGCAACCGTTTTCATGCAGGCTGGGGGCAAGGAACTCTGCCCATGTGTTTGCAGGCCGGCTGGGATTGCCTCCCCACCCCTCACCAGCGCCAAGGCACCTGCTGCAGCTCTCCATATGGCTGCATATAGGTCCCAAAGAGAAATCAGTGTGTGTCTCACCACCAGCTCCTCCCCGCTTCTAGGGGAGACTCCGGCAACATATATCCTCAACCCGATGCAGTCCCAGTTGCAGCGCTATAAGAACAGAACGCATTTTGGATGTTATTATTAAGAACCAAATGTCAATACAAAAATCATGTTGCCGGTCTCCCACTCTTCTTTACTGCTCAGCTCCTTCCAGTTGTGAGACTTGAGAGTTTGAATCTTTGAGGGGCTAAGTGACTCTTTTTACCAAGGGCCTGTTCTTCTTCTCAGTCACCTTCCTTTCATAAATTGCTCTTGGTCCTGACAGTACTAAGATGGGTCCCGGTCTGACAACATGGATGAAAATGAGTGACTGGAAACCCCATAGGTTACAAGGACGACTTTCACAAGGACAGGCATGTTGCAGAAAGACTGCACCATTCTAAAAATGGCAAAATCCTCCATTTCTGCTTGTCTGAGCCAATCCTCTGGGTCTGTCTGTGCCTGGGCCATGGGAGACTGAGAGTAAATGGAACAGACCTGGAGGCTAATCTCATTTTTGCCACTAACTTAGTGAGTGACCCTGAGCAAGTCCCTTCCCCTCCCAGGGCCATCGTGCCCACCTACAAAATCTGAAGTGTGCCTTTCTTACTCTGAAATCTTCTATGTCTGCTTCTATATATGGTGACCCCTAGGAACTGGGGCAAAAGGAAAAGAATGAAGGTTTAAGGCTTTGTGTGGCACTTACCTACAGAGTCTGCAACTCTGTGCCTCTCGTCCACCTCGGGGCCCAGACACAAGCATAGCAGCATGGGCTTCACCTGGGTATGGTGCGGAACTCGGGGCAAGCAGGGAGCCCCACCTCTGGAAGCTGGTGGGGGCTGGGGCGGGGGGGTGCTGTATGGAGGAGCTCGTGATGTAAGAAGCAAGCCAGGAAGGCATTTCACCTTCAGGGAGCCCCATCCTCTGGAAGCCTGTGCCCTCTGTCCCGGCCCACCTGCCCTTTGGTGTTCTCCGGATCCTTTTCAGCCCGAGGCCTGACAGACGTGATCAGTGATGAACCCCTGTGCTGGAATGGAAAGAGCACCAGGCTCAGAGGCAAGAGATCAAGGCACTAGTCGCTCACTCCACATCTAGCACTTCAGCCACGGGTGGGTCCTTTCCCTTCTCAGCTCCTTGGATTCCTTCCCCTAAATTATTGGCATATTATTTATCTGTGGGCAGAGGGCCGCCAGAGCCTTCCTGAGGTATCTGCTAATATGCTGTAGCCTGGGACTGCCTGTCTGCTCTGCCCAAGGGTGGGCTGGGGTAAACTAAACAGGCATATGTGCCCAGGGTCGGCCCAAGACGGAGGCTGGGCCTAGGTGGGGATGGGTGATGATGGTGAGTGGGCTTCCTGGGCATTTCTGGCAGACCCCACTTCAAGCACTGATTTAACCACCTTGAAGCTGTTAGAACAGCTCTGCTCTGAAGAATGACCCAGAGGTCAGGCAGAATTGCAAATGCAGCCATCAGTAGTAGTCTTCTTCCTCAAGAGCCAGCAGATGGGTGGAATGTTTTTGTTTTGAAATTGGATCGTCCCTTCTACCAAAAGGGGCAATTTGCTCATAAAAACATCCTTCATTATAAAAGGAACCATTTTAAAGGAACATCAGAGCAGAAACCATTAGACAAGCAGGGATGATAGATAACTTTCAGGACACTGATTCAAGGAAAAGACAAGATTGAAACAATAAATCTACTACTTAGATTTCCTAGGAGCAGAGGTAGAAAGGATGGTCATATATATAATTCTGTTTTCTGAAAACAGAAACTTTATAGAGATTCATCTGCAGAATCAGCCATTTTTGACTGGGTCTCCTTGCATCAAGGACACTGAGGAACACAGACATGGGGGAAAGTGAATGGGGCCTATAGGAACTTCCAGGTCAAGCTGTCGGTACATGTTGTATGTCTGGCCACTTCCCTCCTTCCCAGCCGTGGGTAATCACCAGGCAGCCAGTGGGACTGGTTCAGGTATGTGTTTTGTGGAACCTGAAAGGTTGGCGCCTTAACAATAAATAATCAGTACTTAATAACCTGCTCCTCTTTTTAAAAAATAACAGCTTTATTGAGATATAATTCACATACCGATAAAGTTCACTTTTCTTAAAGTGTGCAATTCAGTGTTTTTTTTTTTGTATATTCACAGTGTTGTGCATCCATCACCATATCTAATTCCTGAACATTTTCACCACCCCAGAAAGAAACCCCATACCCATTAACAGTCACTCCCCATTCCCTCCGCCCAGCCCCAGGTAACCACTAATCTATTTTCTGTCTCTAAAAGATTTGCCTATTCTGGACAAATCTTACACGTGGAATCACACAATATGTGGTCTTTTGTGTCTGGCTTTTTTCACTTAATGTTTCCAAAGTTCATCCATGTTATAGCATGTGTTAGTACTTCCTTCCCTTTTATGGCTCAATAACATTCCACATTTTCTTTATCCATTTATCAGTTGATGGACAGTTAGGTTATTTCCACATTGGGGCTATTTTGAATAAGGCTGCTATGAACACTTAAGTACAGGTTTTCGTGTGGGCATGTTTTCAGTTCTCTCGGGCCTATCATCTAGGAGTGGAATTGCTAGATTATACAGTAACTATATGTTTAACTTTTTGAGGAACTGTCAGACTGTTTTCCAAAGTGGCTATCACTATTTTACATTCCCACCAGCAGGGTAGAAGGGTTCCAGTTTCTCCACATCCTCACCAGTACTTGTTAGCCTTCTTGTGTATAGTCATCCTGGTGGGTTTTAGGTGGTATCTCATTATGGTTTTGTCTTCTATTAAAAAAAAAAAAAGGTTTGGCCAAAGCCAAGCAAGGAAGAAGCCAGAGATATTCACCCCTGGGGAGTAACCTATGGCTTTGATAATAGCCACCTTGACATGACCGTGGCTGGTGAGCCACAGAAGAGTTGGGTTTGACTTTTGGGGAATGTTCTGTGTTGGATGTGATATAGGACAGGTCCAGTCCGTAGGGAAGTTACTATGACCTTTCCAGATTCAGCAAGATTCATAGCATTACTTTTGCTTGGTTTGAAATTTGTTTATCCAGCGCCTTACAAGTAAAATAAAGGTCTAGTTCTAAATCCTTGTCTTTGATGAAATGCCATAGACCACATGTACCATCTCTGGCAGCCCCCACATCCCCACCTTCTCTTCTTGCCTTGTCTCTTTCCAAGTTCTCAGAGCTGGCTGTGTTTCTCATTGCATCACATTTGTCTACTCAGTCATGAGTTTCTGTCGACCTCCGTGGTGAAGTCATGAATCTCAAGACCCTGACTCCCAAGAATGTATTATGTTCAAAATGGAGATTTTATAGTCCTATGCTGGATGGTCAGTACCTGCTGACATGCAGTTAGAAAACGGGTATCAAGCCCCATAACAACCTCATTGTTTGGATTCCAGCTTCCCTATTGCCTCCCTTCCTACTCTTGTTAATGACATTCTGTTACTGATCCATGCCTCTTCTCAGAAGAAAAATTAGAATCTGTGGAGCAGTTAACATCTGTCACCTTCTAATCTTGTCTACTTGGTGCAGTTCCAGTGCGACAAGTCCCACCACCAAAGAAAGGAGAGGTCCTCAGCTTTCTGTTATAAAACTTACATGCTTTTTGTCCACCATTGACTTTTTGCACCAAAAGAGAGATTCAAAGGCAGGCATCCAAGTCCCCAGCCCTTGATTGTTCTTAGGATTCCACAAGGTTCACCCCAAGTTACTCCTATGCTGGGCCCCGAATCTGACCCAGAAGGTAGGCTACAGGAGTGGTAGGCAGTAAAAATGGTGGGCGTAGAGGAGTGTCAAGATCCAGGTGACTAAGGATAGACCCTGGAATGCAGAGAGCAGCAATGACATGAGGTTTGAACTAGTGGCAGGGTCAGGTGGGAGGTACAAAGTGGAAGGTCCAGTCTCTGCTTAAGCTGATATTGCAGTCTAATAGAGATCGGATGACCATGGGAAAGGCTGTACTTCATATGAGCCACATAAGATGAGTGTTGTGAGGGTTCTGAGGGAGGAGAGAGTGGGAGGGCTGCAGTCAAAAGAAACTACTTCAGCTTTTTTAAACAAGAAGGTTTGGATTACAGACATCAGCAAGATCACATCATCATTGCCATGATCTGGGGATCAGCAAACTCCAGAGTCCCACAACAACTGCCTAGACCTGCACTGGAAAGTGAATGCCCCTCATACTGCCACCTCGACCAAGTTCCAAGTTCAAGGCTCAGTTGCATGCATCTGATAGTTGAAACCTACATCACCTCAAACCATAGCTGCAAGGGAGCCTAGGAGAATGTTTTGTTCCCATTTCCTGCTTCTCCCTTCAGGAAGGCACATTAGGGACAGAGGTCTGGCGAGCAGTCTCCTGTGTCTGTCTACAGCATGGGCCATGATATAGATGAGCACCACAGCCATGCTTCTCCAGCATACCAGAGCCTCCCAGTCTCCTGAGATGCATGCTCAAAGTACACAGTACGTTCTGGGCCCCAACCCAGACCTGGATCCAAATCACTAGGAAAGGGCCTTTAAGTCCGTTTTTTACAAGCACTACTCAAACCAGTCACACCAGTGGCATAACCTGGAAACTTGTTAGAAATGCAGAATGTCAGACCCCACCCAGGCTTATTAAGTGAGAATCTGCATTTTAACAAGTTGCCCAGGTGATTCATGTGCACTTTAAAGTTTGAAACTGTAGTGTATAAACCTTATATCGTTTTCCTTCACCTGGACATCAGGTGGAAAGAATCAAATCAGTCAATCTTCTTGGTTCCTGGCATACTATGACTGCAATGCATGAATATAATGAATTCATGCAGGAACCCCATCATTTGAAGATTTTCCAGTTTTACTCCCTATATCTATTCCTTTGCCCCCTTATCACTCAGATGTGTTTTATATATGTTTTAAAATATGCACATAGCCTTGTAAAATAGCATACATTGTATCTTCAAATCATAACAACAATAATGAAATACTATCCCCATTTTCTAGACCAGAAAAAGAAGGTTGGGAAAGGTCTAGTCATTTGCTCAAAGCCAAGCAGTGGTCTCGGAATCAGGCAGCATGGGTGTGACTTCCGGCCCTCCCCTTGTTGGTGTGTGGCCTTATCTGCAAAATGAGCATCACCTCTACCTTTAGGGTTGTTGTAAGATCCAACCAAATAATTTGTCTTCTAAAAAGCTAGCAGGAGCTTGGTGGGTGCCAGTTATCATTATTACTGAGGCCATAAGACTAGGGGCTCCTGGACAAGAGGAAGGGGACCTTAGGTTACCATCCAAGGTAGAAAACAAGCATCTGGTGCCCCCAGTGTGCCAGGCTTTTCCTAGTCTCATAGCACACCTAACTACTCACAAGGTAAACACTGTTAGCAGCATTCGTTGAGATGGTGCAGGGCTTGCCCCTCCATGGGTGGCAGAACCATGAAGGGAACCTGGGTCAGCCTGTTCTAAAACAGTGCTCTTTGTAGTAGAACTGCTATACCTAGACTCCACACCCTGTCCAGCTGAGGAGCATGGGCAAAACCCATTCTTGAAGCTGGAAAACCAAGTCAGGACTTGTGTGATAAAGCAACAGGGCTGCACAACCCCCAAGATGGTCTAAGACTCCTAAGTCAGTCCTGTTTGCGAAGTGTATCTCATGTTTTGGAGCACTTCCACCTATAACCACAGCACGTGAGCACCCAGGCTGAAACCACCCAGCTCAACCCCCATTCCACAGAGGAAGAAATGCCCACAAAACCTCTCTATGAGAGTAAGCTCCTGAGAGGCTTCACTGGGCCCCAAAATGGCCTTGGGCTCCATGCAGGGCTCTGTCACCTGACCCCAAATGATGCTCACCCCAGCCTTCTGAGTGGTAGGATGGGAGCTGCTCTCCCCATTGAATAGATGGAAAAAGCAGGTCCAGAGCAGTTAAATGACCTTCCCAAGGCCATCAAGACCACAGAAATCCTAGTCCAAGGCTTTGCCAGTAAACACTACCCAAAACAGTCATGTTGGTCTCTGAATGACAAAAATATGAGAATCCCCTTCCCTTCCTCTTCTCTTTCTCCTCTCAGCTAGGCTGCATTAAGAGGAAAGGGGCCATACAGGTTCAGCACCCTGGTCAGCGCCCCGCTACGTGCAGCTGCGGCAGCCTTTGAGCCAGCATAGGCCAGCGTCCGCTGCTCCCCAATCCGGAGTGGCCCACTCTTAGGGACAGGCAGGCATCCCTAAGAGAAGGGGACCTGGACTTAGGTATCCTGCCTCCAGGACAGAGCCCTGCTCTCCTCCTCTCTTTCAGATTAGAACCACAGGAGCACAGTTTTATCCTGTAGGCTTCTTGGTTCCCAGGACATAAATTCACATGAGAAACCTATGAAGAAGAGAGAGGGCCTGAGCCATGGGGACTCCATGGCAAGGTCCCCCATCCTTTGATTGTCTCCATCAGTAAAATGGGATAAAAGTGGGCTTGACTGCCTCGAAGATCCTGCTGATATGTGAGATTCCATGATTTAAGCAGGCCATGAGTCTGACCGAATTCAGTCTGCCCCACCTGCCCCCCATCTCCCCCACAAACTTCCCAACTCATGTCTAAACCACGAGCCTCAAAGTGGCAGCCCACAGCCCAGATCCACAAACATGCTCTGATTGGCTTGCGTGTTATTAAGTTCGAGTCTCGACTCTGCTATTTATCAGCTATGTGGCCTTGGGAAAGTCAGTTAACTTGCCTCTGCCTCAGCTTCCTCACCTTTAAAATGGAAGTAATGGTAGCATCCACTCTCCAAAGTAGTTGTGAGATTTTATTAAATGAGCTAGTAGATGTAAAGATTTAGAAGAGTGCCTGGCACAGAAAGGACACTACATTTCATTTAAAATTTTGATGATCTAATGTGTATAATGCATAACTGCTTCATTGAAATGTACAAACATGAAGTGTTTTCTTTTATCCAACTGACCTCTGTCAAATCCCCATCTCATCTCAGCATCTAGGGCCTCACCAATAACTACCCGGTCACTTTGATTTTCAAACTCAGTCTAGTCTAGTTGAAAACGTTCCAACATATATCCAGTTCTCAGAGGTCTCCACTTTTGAACCCTTGCTCCTCCACTCTGGTGGGGTGGGGACGAAGAG